ATGGTCTCACGAGGCTAGCGTTTACTATATTTGGGCAAAAATGGCCGCTACCAGACTCAGTGACCATGACTAAAATCATTTCTTTACTGATTAACACTAAATTAATTAAATACGCGAACAAATTAGTTTTAGGTATAAATAACGATCCATTGATTATCCCTTGCTGAGCAGGACGTAAAATAGCATGAAAACAGAAAGCCAACAGACAGGTTTCCAGTGCGAGTCCCATAATGATATGGAATATTTAACACAGTAATCGCCTCTGACCGCTCTGCCTTAAGCAAGGCACAGAAGCTGCAGTTGTTGCTATGGCGCTGCCACAGCGGCCATTAAAATGCAATTTAACAAGGAAACTCCCGGGTGTGACTGCGTGTAACTGAGTGTGAAGCACAGAGATTATTACCCCGGTTGTTCTGTCAGGCTGAGAAAGTGAAAACAGCAAACATCAACAAAACAAAAGTCCTTTTTTTTTTCCCGCCCGCCTCCTAACTTACAGGTGATGTAATAGTTGACATTCCTCTTGAACTCCAGGCCCATGTAGTTGGGGCTGAACTCCTGGAACTTGATGGTGAACTTGATGTCCTTCTCAGGCTTGTTGCAGTTCACCAGCACGTTGGGGTCCAGCACAGTGCTGCAGCTCTCCGCCTGCTCTCTCTTCACCAGATACAGCTTGTAGAACTCGTAATCTCGTCCCTGGTCCGCTTTGGGACAGATGATGTCCAGCTTGTCCCCGATGTCTGGGTAGATTACCAGACCTTTTCCAGGAAGAAACCTAGAGGAGCAGGCGGAAGCATAAAGACAGAAACCGTCACTTCTGGATAAAAGAGTCTGTAAAAACAGCTGCATAATTGAAGTAGAGTTTATATAGAGTTAATACTTTTAGCCGAAGGAATTACAGGTTTAGTTTGGTCTGGCGCTGCGTTTAAGGCAGAAACACGCAGCATGTAGCAGCATGACACGGCCTCTCAGCAAGTCAACAGAGTGTTTCACACAAATCCTCTAAAGAGTTTTCTCACACTTGGATGTGACTCAAATCATATGGAAAGTTATCCAGAAAGGAAAGGGAGCTGCGGCGACGCACAAAATGGCCGCTGTGGATCAGATTCTGCAGGAGGAACGCAACAGATTTCTGTTTCATACTTCTGGAGATCAGGGTTAGACCTGAACGCTTTAGCATCGATGCTGCTACTTCACAGGGATGAGGAAAAACAGTGCAGCGGTCAATTGGGAGGGTTGAGGCTCCTTGCCCCCCCCCAGCCCGTCCTGATCATCTACTGCAGGATTAAGATAATCCATCTGACCTTACAGTGCCTCTCTCTCGACTGTGCCGCCAACTCAATCAGATCGGCTTTTGTTCCGTTTTCTGCGCTAAAGGTGGGCTGGCGAAGGAGGCCCGGGGGGGTAAATGTGTGTGAATACCTGGGGGGGTCAACGTGAGTGTGTGTGCTGGAGCATCAGTAGAAAGGGCTGAGGTTGCACTCCTATGGGGGAACAGATAGCGGGGGCAGATGGGCTGAATCATTGTTCTGGGCTTAAAACGTCAACATGGTTCAACTCTGCTGTCCCAGTTAGCCAAGCATTAACCAGACAGCCGGACGGACCGCGGGTGTGTTTATGCACGAGCGTGCGGGGGTGCGTGCGCGTGCGTGCATTGTGATGGCAGACAGCGAGCCCAGCAGCGGGCCTATCTGCTAGATCTGCCCATGCCAGCGGATTTAAGGAGGATTTAGCGAGGCGGGATGCATTTGTTGTTCTTTCTGATCCCTCACGTTTTAACAAGACATCAGTGGCTGGGGGGCCCCTCTCTCTGTCTGTGTGGGTGTCTCCCCTCATCCTCTCTCTCTCTCTCTGAGTATAATCTCACCTTATCTGCAGCCCCTCATTTTATCATCACACACCTCGTTTCACCACTAAATAAGCGGCTCTTCAGGCAGGCAGGACGGAAAGCCACGACCTCTCCTGTTAGAGGCTGATAGAGGGTAGATGTATAAAACATCTGCTGGTTGGAAGAAGAGTTTAACGTTAGATCAGCCCTGATCTGTGAGTCGGCGGACAGAAAGCAAAGATCAGATCAGTAAATGTTGACGGCATTGACAGCGCCACACCGCGGCGTGGAAGCTGAATCTCTGTTAGCTTTTTATTAATCATCAGAGAATGTTTCCTGTACTGGATTAGAGGAAACAGAGACGCTGCAAGACGCTTAAAGTAGCAAATATTCTCTGCTGATCATTTAGTCCTAATAACCGTCAGCAGACACAAAAATGCTGAACGCAACACAGCAAAGTCTGACTCTGTTTGGCACAAAACACGCTGCGTTAGGAGGCTTTAAATCAGTTAAAATAGGTCTAATTTAACATCTAACTGTTAGCCTGTTAGCAATCTTGCCAAAACTAATCACAGCACAAATTTGACTAAAATAAAAATAAGATCTGGGTTGCTCAGTGGAACAGAGGGTAGCATTGCTGCCTTGCAGCAGGAAGCTTCCGGGTTCGATTCCTGGTCAGGGGTCTTTTAATTCTATTCAGTTTATTTCTATAGCTCCAATTCACATCATGTCACTTTCCAGTTCACCAGTTCATCCAGTCAGATTGATTCAAAGTTTTTAGCTGATTGCATCGACTCATTGACTCTTCAGCAATCCCTCACACTAAGCATGCTTGTAGCGACAGTGGAGAGGAAAAACTCCCTTTGAACAGGAAGAAACCTCCAGCAGAACCAGGCTCAGTGTGAGCGGCCATCTGCTGAGAACGACTGTTAGGTTAATATGCTTCTCTAGATTCTCCTTAGGTGTGAAAGGTTGTTTGTCCTGTTTGTCTCTGTGTTGCCCTGTGATGGACTGGAGACCTGTCCAGCACTGTAAAAAATCTAAATCTAGATAAGTCTTAAAATAAATGCATTTGTTCTTGGATTGAGGAGTTAAAAGTGACATTTTGCCAATGGAACAAGACAATTTACTCTTAAAATAGGAAAACACAATTGCATTGTCTTATTTCAAGTGCATTTCATCTAAATATCTTATTTTAAGAGTAAAAATACTCATTCCATTGGAAAACTACCTCATTTACTTACTCAAATTAAGGGTGAATACACTTAATATAAGAAAATTCTACTTATTTCTAGATTGTTTTTCCAGTGAGGGTGGACCCTGCCTCTCACCCACAGACAGATGGAGATAGACACCTTGCTTGGAACTAGCATGACAGAAAATGGATGGATGGATGGAAAATAAGGCGTCAAAGACACTTTATCCACATGTTTTTATTAAATGCTACTTAAATCCTGTTTAATTGTTTAGTTATGCGCTGCCATCTATTCTCTCTCTCACATATAAACATGGCGTGACGTCACATCTGGTCCTGATTGGAATAATTCACCATTAATAATCAGGGACAGAGAAGCTATTTATGGCTTTAGCAAAATGACAATAAGTAGGAAAAATCCAGAGCTTCTTTCCCTCAAACATCTTTTTTTTTTTAAATAAAAAGGATGATTATGTTATGAGATTAGATTTACAGGTTGGAAAAGTTTTGATATAATCTGCCTTGTAAAGGATTTAATAGGAGACTTTTTAAAAATCAGTTTCAATGTGTATAAATACGACATCAATGACGGATGTTTTATGGACCCTGCAGCTTTAACTCAACTTGCAGTTTAGTTAATAACAGTAAATAAATGATGGCGACCAATTCTTTTTTTTTTCCTTTCTTCTTATATCAGGGTCGGTAACTTTATAAAAAAAACTTCCACTTAAATCGATAATTTTGCTGAGAAATATGACTACAGCATGTCAACAAGAGCTAGAAGAAGTGATTAAAATATCGTCTGCAAACAGAAATACATGATCAGGATTATTTCAGACTATATAACTTAAATGAAAAAAAGTTCATCAGAAAACTACTATATATATATGTGTTTAAGGATGGAGTTGTTTTTTCTTCACTGTCAAATAAAAAAATAGAAAAGGGCTAATATAAATTTGAAGAGATAGAAAATTAGCATATCAAAGTTTGAAGAAATGTGGGATTAAAAACTTCCCAGTTAGGATCCTGCTGTTTCCTCATCTTATGACGCTAATGAGGAGCTAGCCATTACACATGAAGAATTTAAAAAGTTCCCCATTTTCTGAGGAAATACCCTCCGTGAAAATGCAGATGATTGGATTAACATTCATGGCCGTTAAGGTCAGGAGCTTCACCAACCAAATGGCTCCATTCACAGGAGATGGATGAGATAAGAAAATTGGAAAACGGTCCTTTGCTCAGGATGATGACGGCATGATGAGGAGCGGGGGCGCTCAGGGGCCTCCTCGTTCCAGCCCTGGATGCGGGTGAGACGTTATTTCCCTCACTATTGTCTAATACCCGCGGGTTTGAGGAGGGGAGGGGGGCGTCCCTGGTAATTCAAGAGGCCGATAAGAGAGAGAGAGAACATGGGGTTTCCTTTTGTCCTTCTGCTCCTGATAATTAGCTGGTGCTCAGCAGCAGCACTCTGCTTATGCCTGCTTGTTTTTTAGTGCGTTAAAGCAGACATATGTTTTCACTGCTGTGTGTGTGTGTGTGTGGGGGGGGGGGTCCGTGCAAACGCACCGCACGTTGACGCACGTGCATATGTCTATGAAGACGCAGACACAATCAGTC